TGAGTGAAAAGTTTGCCTCCTAAGTCGTGTAATTGTTCTAGAGTTCCGTCTCAAATGTTAACCATAGTTATTTATTATTCGTCTATTCTTACTCCTCTTTCTATTTCGGCTCTTATGCCAAGGCCGGTGTAGCATAAATCGCATAGTTCCATGGCTGTACCATCAAGAACTTCAACCATTCAAATGCTTCCGCTATATAGCACCACTCCTCCGCAATGGTCGCAAGCTCAATTAGAGGTTTCTCTCTGGCTTTCGTCAAAAATTCTTTTTTCTATTAAATTGTATCTGCTATTTTCGTGTTTTATCATAATTAGTTTAAATGGCGTTGTATTTGTTCAAATTCAGCTTGACAATCATCGCAGGTAGTTTCTTGGTGGCCATCCTCAAAGTAAATTCTGTTCATCATCTTTTCACTTTTTCCGCATATAGTGCATGTGGCATTATCTAATTCGTCTGCATGAAGATATGCTCTGATTATCTTTCCGTGTCCTCCAAAATAAACTTTGTCGACTTCCGAAGGGGTTCAGTTATTCATTTTATTTCAATCTAAATCCTTTCAATTCTCCACTTTCTTTAATTATTCTTGCTTGGGTTGTTTTTTGCATTTGATAGCATTCTAGGCAATAATTAGTGCTAGATTGATAAATTCTTTTAAAATCTGCTGTGTAATACTCATAAACTTCAACTTGGTTGGTTACTCGTTTGCAAATTTCACAAGTAAGAGTTATTAATTGGCTATTAGTCATTAGTTTCAAAATGAGACTCTGCACAATTTTCACACAAAGTCCTTTTTTCACCAGTTACCAAGTTTTCAATAATATATACCTCAAAGTATCGATTTGGACAGGCTTGGCAACTATAAATGTTTCTGCCTCTCATATCTATCTTTGAGTCTGCTACTTTTCACTCCTCCATGTTAGGTTAAAAATTTTCTCATAAGGTTGCTTTCCCTCTATCCCTTCTCGGTTTTTTTTGGCAAGTCAGGTTAAAATCTGGTGCTCAGCCACTAATTTTGCTTATTGTTTTACTTTCCAAGCACAATAATTCAAGCAGGTAATCAATCCGGCATAAACTTTACTTGGCATAAAGAACCAGTTAGTTTGAGTTTCTGTTTCGTATTTGTGTTCTAGCCCTTTTTTGTTTTCTCGCGGTTTTAATACCATTACTCGCTTGTCGAACATTACTATTTTATAACCATTAGGCAAGCTGGTTTCAATTACTTCTCCAAATCTTTCTTTTAAGTCTACAAATTTAAAATTAAAGGCTTGGGCGAATTTTCCAATCGCTAATAAGTTATGAATAGTGCTATCTAATACTAAAAAGATATCTTTTAACTTGCGAGTATTAGTTTTTACCTTGGTTAGTTTGGCACCTTCAGTTGCAGTTGCCCCAGGCTTTCATCATCCCAATTGAAATATATCATTTTTCTGTAAGAAAGCAGAACTAGTGTTATAAACAGCCCCTAAAATTTCATCAGGGTTGTTAAACCATTCTTCGGGCATTTTGAATAAATTGCCATCTGGGGCTTCACCTTTGATAATGTCTGTTTCATTTTCTTTATAATTAGTATCTGTAGTTCAAAGTTCTTCTATTTTTTCATTAACGTCATCAGTTATTTTCTCAGCGATATTGGCTTTTAATTGAGTAGTCATTTCGGCTAATTGAGTTGGGCTATCTAAAGCTTCTAGGAAGCGATCCTCTACAATTAACTCATAATAAACCTTATCAATTACGGCTGGAATATCGATTCAGGCAATATCTAATTCTCTTTTAAAGTCATCGCCTGTATGAACTGATAAATTGGGTCTAAAAGTTACCCCCGGGCTTAGGTTGGGTTAATAAAAACCGAGCCTGACCAGCATAAATTTGGATTTTATTATCGGCAAACAGTTCCAAATAACGACTATCTGCACGAACCAACTGTAAAATTTGATCTTGTTGGGTTTTTTGCTCCAGTAAATGGAGATACTCATTTCTTTCTACCATATTTATCTAACATTATTAAGCACTTTAAATTGACTTAAATATGCTAAAACACTGGGCCCAACACTGATAATTAAGTTAATTTCTCATTTTTTTCTAGTCTCGAATTTTTTGGCATAAATTCTTTGATTATTTTTCACCAAA